CCTGTGTCCATGTGTTCTCGTTCTTCAACTCCCATTTATGAGTGAGAACATGTGGTGTTTGGTTTTCTGTGTTAGTTTCCTGAGAATGATGGTTTCCAGCTTCATCCATGTCCTGAAAAGGATATGAACTCATCGTTTTTTATTGCTGCATAGTATTTCATGGTATATATGTGCCACATTTTCTTTATGCAGTCTATCATTGATGGGCCTTTGGGTTGGTTCCAAGTCCTTGCTATTGTGAACAGTGTTCCCATAAACATACGTGTGCATGTGTCTTTACAGAATGATTTATAATCCTTTGGGTATATACCCAGTAATGGGATGGCTGGGTCAAATGGTATTTCTAGTTCTAGATTCTTGAGGAATCACTACACTGTGTTCCACAATGGTTGAACTAATTTACACTCCCACCAACAGTGTAAAAGTGTTCCTATTTCTCCACATCCTCTTCAGCATCTGTTTCCTGACTTTTTAATGATCGCCATTCTAACTGGTGTGAGATGGCATCTCATTGTGGTTTTGATTTGCATTTCTCCAATGACCAGTGATGATGAGCTTTTTTTCATGTTTTTTGGATAAATGTCTTGAGAAGTGTCTGTTCATATCTTTCGCCTACTTTTTCATGGGGTTGTTTTTTCTCTTGTAAATTTGTTTAAGTTCCTTGCAGATTCTGGATAGTAGCCCTTTGTCAGACGGATAGATTGCAAAATTTGTCTCCCATTCTGTAGGTTGCCTGTTCACTCTGATGACAGTTTCTTTTGCTGTGCAGAAGCTCTTTAGTTTAATCAGATCACATTTGTCAATTTTGGCTGTTGCCAATGCTTTTGGTGTTTTAGTCATGAAGTCTTTGCCCGTGCCTATGTCCTGAATGGTGCTGCCTAGGTTTTCTTCTAGGGTTTTTATGGTTTTGAGTCTTATGTTTAAGTCTTTAATCCATCTTCGGTTAACTTTTGTATAAGGTGTAAGGAAAGGTTCCAGTTTCAGTTCCCCACATATGGCTACATATGGCCACATATGGCTAGTTTTTCCAACATCATTTATTAAATAGGGAATCCTTTCCCTAGTACTTGTTTTTGTTAGGTTTCTCAAAGATGAGATGGTTGTAGATGCGTGGTGTTACTTCTGAGGCCTCTGTTTTGTTCCATTGGTCTATATATCTGTTTTGGTACCAGTACAATGGTATTTTGGTTACTGCAGTCTTGTAGTACAGTTTGAAGTCAGGTAGCGTGATGCCTCCAACTTTGCTCTTTTTGCTTAGCATTGTCTTGGCTATACAGGCTCTTTTTTGGTTCCATATGAAATTTAAAGTAGTTTTTTTTTTTTTCTTTTTTTTGAGATGGAGTCTCACTCTGTCGCCCAGGTTGGAGTGCAGTGGTGCGATCTTTGCTCACTGCAACCTCCACCTCCCGGGTTCAAGCAATTCTCCTGCCTCAGACTCCCGAGTAGCTGGGATTACAGGCGTGTACCACCACCCCTAATTTGTGTATTTTTAGTAGAGATGGAGTTTCACCATATTGGTCAGGCTACTTTCAAACTCCTGACCTCAAGTGATCTATCCGCCTCAACCTCCCAAAGTACTGGGATTACAGGCGTGAGCCACCACACCCAGCCTAAAGTAGTTTTTTCTAATTCTGGGAAGAGAGTCAATGGCAGGTTAATGGGGACTGAATCTATAAATTACTTTGGGCAGTGTGGCCATTTTCATGATATTGATTCTTCCTATCCATGAGCATGGAATGTTTTTCCATTTGTTTGTGTCCTCTCTTATTTCCTGGGGCAGTGGTTTGTAGTTCTCCTTGAAGAGGTCCTTTACATCCCTTGTAAGTTGTATTCCTAGGTATTTTATTCTCTTTGTAGCAACTGTGAATGGGAGTTTATTCATGATTCAGCTGTCTATTATTGGTGTTTAGGGATGCTTGTGATTTTTGCACATTGATTTTGTATCCTGAGACTTTGCTGAAGTTGCTTATCAGCTTAAGGAGATTTTGGGCTGAGACAATGGGGTTTTCTA